TTTCTCTTATTTTTCCCTCTTTTCTTTTTTTTTTCTTTTGCCTTGGTTTTTCCTTGTTCCTATTCGCTCCTTTCCTCAAAATTGTTTTTCCGCTCTTTTCTTTCCTTTGCTCCCTTTTTATTTTCTCTTGTTTGCTTTTGTTTGGTTTCGAATCACACAGGGCAAAAATCACGTGCTCACAGCATGCACGGCATCACCCTTCGTGCTTTAACACTCTCTTACCAAAACAATGCACGGCATCACCCTTCGTGTTTTAACACTCTTCCTCACCCAAACAACAATCACAAACAATAAGGGCAAAGAAATAAATGAAATCACAATAAAATCCCAGCAAGGGAACAACAATACAACAATCATATCCCGGCAAGGGAAACAATATCAAAGAAACAACATCCCGGCAAGGGAAACAACATTAAAAGCAACAACATCCCGGCAAGGGAGACAATATCATAGCTAGGGGTGTGCATTCGATTAATCGATTCGATTTTGACCCTTATCGATAATTACTTATCGATTATCAATTTGTACATATGCTTATCGTTATCGTTTCAATAAGGTTTCGATTTTTTCGATTTCAATTTCGATAAAAAAATAATCGATTCGATTTATCGATAAACCGATTCGAATGCACACCCCTAATCATATCCCTCTTCTCTTTTTCACATTTACTTCCCATCTCAATTCACAACTTGAGCCAATGCTCTATAATGTTCAATTGCCAACAATAATTCCACAAATCATTTCACAACTTGAGCCAACGCTCCTCAATGTTCAATTACCAAAAGTAATTCCACAAGCCTTGTTCAACAATAGAAATATCACATAAGGCATGAACAATACAAAATGGAGTAATATTAATCATAGCATAAGACTCACGGGCATGATGGACACCAACGTATAGATACTCGTCACCATGCCTATACGTCGTACTCAACAATCAACACTTAGCAAATGGACACAACTCCTAATCCCTCAAGCTAAGGTTAGACCAAACACTTACCTCGATGCCACGAACATAATTCAAGCCTCAACTACCGCTTTACCTCTTGATTCCACAACCAATTCGCTCGTATCTAGCCACAAGTTACTTAACTATATCAATAAATGCTAAATGAATCAATTCTAATGCATTAAAATAGATTTTCTGGAGTTTTTCCCAAAAAGTCAAAAATCGACCCCCGGGCCCACATGGTCAAAACCCGAGGTTCGAACCAAAACCCGATTACTCATCACCCACGAACTCAAATATATAATTTGTTTTGAAATCGGACCTCAAATCGAGGTCCAAATCCCCAAAATTTGAAAAACCTAAGTTCTACCCAAAACACCCAATTTTTCCCATGAAAACCATTGATTTTGAGTTGAAATCATGAGAAAAGATCTTAAAGATTAATAAAAACGAGTTAGAAATGACTTACAATCGATTTGAAAGAGTGTTTGTCTTTGAAAAATCGCCCAAAGGTGTTTAGGTTTTGAAAGGGTTTGAAAAATGGTTGAAAATGCGTCTAAGTTATGATTTTGCAGGTTGCAGATGTCGCAATTGCGACTAAGGTTCGCAATTGCGAACCCCGCAAACTGTTAACTTCGCAAATGCGAAGCTTTTGTCTCATTTGCGACCCAGTACAATTCCGGTCACCTTCTCATTTGCGAGGGACCTTTCGCAAATGCGACATCGCATTTGCGATACAAACGCCGCATTTGCGACCAAGGCTGCCCAGGTCGACATTTGCATTTGCGATCATTGTTCACATTTGTGAGCTCCCATTTGCGAGCCTGCAGACCTGCAACGTACCAGCTGAAAACCTGCAATTTCCTAAGTTCAATTCCACTTCGTGGCCTATCCAAAACTCACCCGAGCCCTCGGGGCTCAAACCAAACATGCACACCAACCTAAAAATATCATACGGACTTGCTCGTGCAATCAAATAATCAATATAACATCAACAACTATGAATTGAATCCCAAATTCATGAAATCATCCAAGAATACCCAAAATTCCAATTTCTCAACTTTAAGTCCGTTTTATACCAAACCAATCCCGATCTTTACCAAATTTTACAGATTCAACCAAATTATTATTTCAAACTTGTACCGGGCTCCGGAACCAAAATACGGGCCCGATACCATCAAATTCAAACATATTTCATTCCCAAAAACTCATATATATTCCAGAAAACAATTTTCTTTAAAAATTCATTTCTCGGGCTTGGGACCTCGGAGTTCGATTCCGGGCATACGCCCAAGTCCCATATGTTCCTACGGACCCTCCGGGACCATCAAATCACGGGTCCGGGTCCGTTTACCCAAAATATTGACCGAAGTCAACCTAAATTCATTTTAAAAGGAAAATTCATCATTTTTCACAGATTTTCACATAATGACTTTCCAGATACACGTCCGGACTGTGCACGCAAATTGAGGTGAGATTAAAAGGAGGTTTTACTTTCAAAACGAGTGATGACCTTTTGGGTCATCACATCCTCCACCTCTAAAACAACCGTTCGTCCTCGAACAGACATAGAAAAGAAGTACCTGAGTCGGGGAAAAGATGGGGATATCGGCTCCGCATATTGGACTCGAACTCCCAGGTCGATGCCTCAGCAGGCTGACCTCTCCACTGAACACGAACAGAAGGGAAACTCTTCAACCTCAACTTACGAACCTGCCGGTCTAGAATAGCTACCGGCTCATCCTCATAGGACAAGTCCTTGTCCAACTGGACAATGCTGAAATCTAACATGTGAGATGGATCGCCGTGATACTTCCGAAGCATGGACACATGAAACACTGGATGCACGACTGATAAACTCGGTGGCAACGCAAGTTTGTAAGCCACCTCTCCCACTCGATCAAGAATCTCAAACACGCCAATGAACCTAGGGCTAAGCTTGCCCTTCTTTCCAAATCTCATCACGCCCTTCATAGGCGACACCTGAAGCAACACTCGCACGCCGACCATGAATGCCACATCACGAACCTTACGGTCGGCATAACTCTTTTGCCTGGACTGAGTTGTACGAAGCCTATCCTGAATGATCCTGACCTTGTCCAAGGCATCCTGTACTAGATCCGTACCCAACAATCGAGCCTCTCCCATCTCAAACCAACCAACCGGCTACCGACACCGCCTACCATATAAAGCCTCATAAGGAGCCATCTGAATGCTCGACTGGTAGCTGTTGTTGTAAGCAAAATTCGTTAAAGGCAAAAACTGATCCCACGAGCCTCCAAAGTCAATTACACAAGCTCGGAGCACATCCTCCAAAATCTGAATAGTACATTCGGACTGCCCGTCCATCTGAGGATGAAATGTTGTGCTCAACTCGACCCGTGTACCCAACTCACACTGAACTGCTCTCCAAAAATGCGAGGTAAACTGCGTACCTCGATCAGAAATGATAGGCACGGGCACTCCATGAAGACGAACAATCTCCCAGATATAGATCTCAGCTAACCTCTCAGAAGAATAGGAGACTGCCACAGGAATGAAATGCGCTGCTTAGTCAGCCTATCAACAATAACCCACACTGCATCGAACTTCCTCTGAGTCCGTGGGAGTCCAACAACAAAGTCCATAGTGATACGCTCCCACTTCCACTCAGGAATCTCAATCTTCTGGAACAAACAACCACGTCTCTGATGCTCGTACTTTACCATACCAATTGCAACTCGTAAATACCATAATCTTCATATTTATCTTTGTCACCCCCATTAGCCAACAGTGTATAAACTATGTAATCATTATATCCTTAGTCCATACTACGTGTATATTCCTAAATTATGCACTGAATATATATTAATTATACATTATATACATGTTATACAAAGTGTATACATAAGTACATCACTGTTACACAATGTTAATTTCACTGTTACTTAGTGTTTATTTTACTATTATTCAATGTATAAACAATTGTTATACAAAAATTCTTACTCACAAACGCCATTAGGAGGAGAAAAGAAAAAAAAAATTCCAAATCCATCGCTTGAAAAAACTGCCCAATTGGGTTTGAAGCGAGAGAAAGCAGGGCAGAAATGGGTGGATTTGATGAAGAGATAGACGAAAGAGAAAGCAAAAAAAAAGCCAGCAAAATTGTGAAGAAGTGAGAAGCGGGAGACGATGTTGTGAGAGAGAGAGAGATAGAGAGAGAGAGAGAGAGAGAGAGAGGTGAATGATGGGAGCGATTATGTTTATCGAGAAAAGTCAGGGTTAAAAAAAGTAATAAAAGTAAAATACGGCTATTTAAAGTTTTTATCTTTTATGGGCTGCTATTTCAGTTAAAATTCCAATTTGGGAAAAAAAACATAAATAGCCATCCGATTGTCTCCCTTTTTCCTGTTTAGCCGTAAACTTTCATCAACAAAAAATAGCTAGTTGGCTAATTCCCTCTTCTATCAACTAAAATAAATAAATAAAAAACCCTTCCTTTATACTTTGCCTTATCTTCTGCTAATATCCATCTGAAAATTATCATAATCTCGTCCTTCTTTGCCAAAAAAATATTCGACCTACATTCGGCAATAACTATTGAAAAAGAATCTCCATCAACAACCAACAAAATTAGGAAATACATATTATCATCAGAAGGAGGAGTGACGAACAAATATACCAATTGCAACTCGTAAATACCATTATCTTCTTCTTTATCTTTGCCACACCCATTAGCCATCAGTGTATAAACTATGTAATCATTGTATGCTCAGTCCATACTTCGTATTCCTAAATTATGCACTGAATATACATTGATTATACATTATTCTCATGTTATACCATGTGTATACATAAGTACATCACCGCTATACAATGTTAATTTCACTGTTACACAGTGTTTATTTTACTTTTATACAATGTATAAACAATTGCTATACCAAAATTCTTACTTTTAGTAATAAAAATAAAATACGGCTATTTAAATTTTTTATCTTTTATGGGCTGGTTAAAATTACAATTTGGGCTCGGATCCGGTTTTTATTAGGAGCCCATCAGTTTTGATATTCTGAGCTTCTTCCTCCGTCTCTGTTTCTGCGTCTCTCCCTCTCTTTCACCTTCAACACTTCCTTTCCCATCCAACGGTAGAAAATCTAATACTCCCCACTGTTTAATTACAGTCAGCACAGGTTGGTCATAGTTCTTCTTGATATCTATAAATAAATTCGCCGTCTTATTTGCTTCAAGTAATCATAATTCAGACCACGTAATATAATAATCTTTATGTTGTTTGATTTGAGTTGTTCAGATGAAATTCGAAGACTGAGAGTTGTTCGCTTGCTCCTTGTATGAACAAAACTACATGCTTCAATTTCTAACCACGCAAATTTGAGCATTTGACATCATTTGATCTAAGGTATACCCTTTTATCCAAATGATCTATTCAATATGGCCAGTGAGTTAATTTAGTATGTTAGACGATTAGCGAAAATTGTAATTATTAGCGAATAACGATTTATCGTCTATCTAAATTATCAATTATTATAGATTGGATTCTAGATGCTATTCCGTGGATTGTAAAGCACCAAAATGAAGTTTTTTAAAAATCTTTAAGCCTTTCAGATTTAGTAGTCCAGCAAATGGAAACGAAAGTGATTTTGCACAGGAAATGTGAATAGTTTATGTATCATAGAGTCATAAACTTTTCTGGATGTGTTGACGATGGAGTACTTTAAGCTTCATCCATACTGTTGTCAGCGTGTTATTCTCAAACTTAACTAATTTGCTGTTAACCAGAGAATTCAAGACTACTTGTAAGCTGAAGAAAGGATGGTCTATTATCAAATAGTTCTAAGAATGGCAATCACACAAATTATTAAAATATATAGCTGCTTTAAAAAGTTTGACGTCTAATTAACTGCAAGATAGCATCTCGGTCCTATGTGGTTGTCTCAATGATATAGAGCACGTTGGGTGTTAAACTAACAATTGTATGCTTCTGAGTAGCCAGTGGGTGAAACCTTGGTGTTATAGATTCTAAGATTGTGTATGGAAGAAATCTGTCTAGGATATAAATGATCAATTTCGCTTGCTGGGAGATAAGGTTGTTAGTAAGAATCTGATCTGACTATTAAGATCTTCAGTATGTTTTCGTTGGACAGGAATCTATTGCTACTTCTGGCAATGTATATAATTGCACAAGGTTCCTCTTTCTATTTGATTGCACAAGATTTCTTTTGTTTAGAGTTATCAAAAAGTGAACTTAATTTACATAATCTTTCTTGGACCATTCTGACTGGTTCAACATGAAGTGCTGTTTCCTCCTGTTTTTTATTTGGTTATTCTTTCCTGCTTATGACTTCTAATTGCTCAGGCCTTTAAAAATGGAGGATGTGGTAGAGAAATTTGATGACACTCTCCAATTTGCACCAAATGGATCACTACTTCAGTGGAGCCAATGGCAATTGCTTGATTCCGTTCTTCCTACAGGTGGTTTTGCTCATTCTTTTGGCCTTGAGGCTGCTATTCAAGCTCGGTTAGTCTCTGGGCCTGAAGACCTTCGAAAATTTGTGACCCATATACTGGAGAATACAGGAAGTCTATTGCTTCCTTTCATCTATACTTTGAATGCATCTCCTACTGTCGAAACATGGTATAAACTTGACAAAATATTGGATGCAACACTAACAAATGAAGTTGGTAGGAAAGCATCTATCTCACAAGGATCAGCACTTCTGAGGGTAGCTGCCACCGTGTTCCAGGAAGTTCCGACTTTAAAAACAATGCGAGAAATGTCTTTGACTAGCGGAGCTGTCCGTTTCCACCATGCCCCCATTTTTGGACTTGTATGTGGGCTTCTTGGATTAAATGCTGAAACTTCTCAGAAGGCTTACATGTTTACTACAATGAGAGATGTTGTATCCGCTGCAACAAGGCTCAATTTGGTTGGACCGCTAGGTGCAGCTGTATTGCAGCATCAGCTTGCTGCCAGTGCAGAAGAACTATCAAAGAAATGGATGAACCGTCCTGTACAAGAAGCATGTCAGACTAGTCCTTTGCTTGATACTGTCCAGGGCTGTCATGGTTATTTGTTCTCCAGGCTTTTTTGCTCTTGAATGATGGAACTGAAGATTCAAGATACGGGGGTTTGGGTGGATGAGAAAGTTATTGATCTTAATACTACAGTTCCATAAACAATTGTTGAGAACATTTCAAGCTTGTGCTTTCGCTTGGGTGTAATCAGAGGCACCAACCACAGTGACAGCTTCTCTTAGAACTGCCGAAGGATATATGGTTTTCACACTTCCAAATTGTGATTTTTCTTCTTCGAATGATGGATATGTCTCTTGACTTGAGCTACAGGGGTTACACCACTATGTTTGTTTCAAGAAAGCATAATTGATGAACCACAAGGCTTATAACAATATGTTTGTTTACAGGAGGCCACATTCAATTCAAGAAAGTTTGAGTGATGCTTGCAGATATGCTTTGTTATCAGGAGGAAGTACAAGAATGTGAGAGCTGCAATTAGCTCGCTTGTAAGACCGACATCTCTCTGCCATTCATTTCCCCCCGCAAAGATTCTTCAACCACAATCTATAATATGCAATTGAATTGCAGGTCGATAGTGAATGGCCTTTGGACAATTCTTAAGACGGAAAAGTTGGGGTCATAAACTTGCATAAAATGGTATATTCTTCTAGTTTTCAGAGGTAGCTTGTTATTCAAAGGCATATATTGTTGAATGTTGAAGACTACTAAAATACTGATATCCTCTTACTGGTGCCAAAAAATCTTTTTATAATCTCAAATCTTTTCGCTTTCTTGAACAAAAATCACACGCCCTCTCACAAACTTTATGAAATGGGCTACCTGCTCTTTTTTGTTTTCTCTTCCTTCTATACTTTGTTATTAGAATGCCTGTTATTAGAAAGCCAGCAATAGGTCTGTCCAAATGTTCATTGTTGCACTGGATATGGGCTGGGTTCTGTTTCCATATTTTAATATGGCTTGCCAACCTATATCAAGTCAGAACCAATACATGTGCATAACTCCAAAATCCCAAAATCAAAACGATGCTATTACATCTATGTTTAATAATGTCAGCAATATTCATTTTCTGTAAATAAAAAAAGAAAAAACCGTGTTCCAATATTCATTTAGAGACAATTTATTATGAGAAAATCTCACTTTATACCCATTAATCCTAAACTATTTACCCTTAAATGCCCATGTCCAAACCATTTACTACTCCTACCCATGGGGCCCAAACTATTTACCCGATTTTTTGCTTGCCAACCAAAAAATTAAATCAGATGCAAGATTTCCGAATGGCTTCGAACGTGTCAACATGCAATGCTACGTGTATCCTTTTTCTTCAACTGGTGTCTCCATTGCTACTCAATTTCCCTGGCCATATAAATGTGCCTTAATTAATTCCTTCTTACCGAATTGGATATTTTATAAATAAAGTCATATATCAAGATTCAAAATTAAACCAGATATAGGTGAAGAAGAAGAATAGGAAAATGGCTCAGATGACAATAGACCCACAAAATGAGAAAATAGAATATTTTGAGTTGTTGAGTGGACACAAGATTCCTGCTATTGGTTTGGGCACATGGTGAGCTGAAAATGAAAAGGACTCTGTTTATACTGCTATCGTTGAGGTATACTCTCAACTAGACGATACCCGGTTTTTTGCTTGCCAATCATCTTTCTTTCTTCTATCGTCCAGTTTATGCCCAAAATTGAAGAATTCTCTGCATTGCACAAGAAAATGACGAATACCACTACGTGTCTCAATAACTCAATTCCACCGGCAAAATGCTCTACACTTTTTTTCTTGTCATTTCCGTCCTCGATGTAACCCTCTTTTCTATATAAACTTCTCTATTTACTTGTCATTTCTTGTTTTTCCCCTCTCTTTTTTTTTATTAAATTTGTCCTTTTGTATTTGATGAGTACGAAAAATTGTAGTACGGAACTTATATCCTTAAATTTATTTTTGTTCTTTTATGCTAAGAAAGTTATACAAATTGCAATTATTGTTTATTACCTTAACCATATTCAAAGTGGGTGTTGTTAGATATTGCTTATAGTACCTTCTGGAAGTTCATACTGAAATTTGATAGCATTTGGAGCTGATTTGAGGTGATTGAGATCGAAATTTTCAGTTGAAAATCGAAGAAGAACACAGCTATAATATACCGCTACGGTATACAATATGCTGTAGGAGTATATAGCTATACTGCAACACTATACTATTATAGTTTACAAAACAGTATACCGCTACAGTATACTAATATACTATAGGAGTATATAGTTATACTGCAACAGTATACTATTATAGTATATAATATATTGTTATAGTATACTGTAATAATATGCAAGATACTGTAACAATATGTTGTAATAATATACAATATACTATAATAGTATACTTATTACCCGTAAATTCACTTGTCTTTTTCCTTTTAATTTTTTTAAGCTTTTACCCAAGCGTGAGGGGCAAACTGAAAATGCAGAAAAAAAATTATAGTATGCTATATGATGTAATGGTATACTCTTACAATTAGGTCCTTTTAGAATTTTTAATTTTTTTTTGACAACTGATATTATTTCAGTTTAATAATTGAATTAAAAAAATTTTAACTCTTTGCGTACGATTGTATACCCTGTTGGTATAGCTATATACTATACTGGTATCATATGTTAGTTATTATTTTTTTGGTTGTATTAACTACATTTAAGTGGTACACAATTTGATTTTTCTTTAGTAATAATATAAAAAAAGAATAATAAAAATTAGTGAAAACAATAAATGCAATTAGATTATGAAGAGAAAAGGAATATAAAAAAACAGAAGTTAAATAAATTAGAAAAGGAAAAAGGAAAAAAAATAAGAAGAAAACGAGAAAAAAAGTAGAAAAGAAAAAAAGAGAAAAAAAAAAAAGAAAAGAAGCATAGAAATAAAAAAGAATTGGAGAATAAAGAAAAAATTCCCCAGAAAACCTACGATGACTAGGAAATGTAATTAGTTTATGGGTAGGAAACAAATGAGTAGACAAGGATAAATAGTTTTGTTTTTGTGGATAACTGTGTTAAAACCCCATTTATTATCTAGGCACAACAAGTACAAGTCATGACGAATATCCCAATTCAAAATCCAGTTATTTTACAACCAAGGCCCAAAGAATGGACCCGCCCCTAGTTAAGTGTAGTGACGTGTCAAGATCTCGGGGCCCAATCTTTTCATTGAGATTCTTAGCCGTGGATTACCTTCTCCCTCTGATCTTTTATAGGGTTTGGCAAGAGGGCCCCTTGCTCTTTCTCCTTGTATGGAACCCAGTAAACAAGTGGGGCTCTCTTTTTCATCCCTAAGGTCTGTTATCTTCTCTGAATCCGTTTTTACTGTTATTTCGTTTTCTTTGTCTCAAAAGCTCCTTCACTGTAGAAAATTATCGGTCAACTATTCGAACCAACGACGAATTTTTTGTTTCTCAGTCGCTTCCACATTTTCTAATTTTTCGTCACTCACAAGCACACCCTTTGTTTCTCTTCAAATTTCACACTTTCTGTGGATTTTATTTCGGCTATAGTTTTTCTGGGGTTTAATCCTTTTGTTTCCCATTTTTTCTTGGATTCAGCTATTTCAGTTGTTTTTGGCTTTTTTCTTCAACATGGAGAACAAACAAAACATTGAACCGGAAAATGACGCGGTTAACGACTCGAAGATATTATCCGCTGATCCATTACTCGGCGATTCTGAAGAATACACCATTACAGCAGTAGGGCAGCATGTAACTGACGCTGAAGGTGTCGGCCCTTCTCCGCCGCCGTCAACAGATATTGTGCCTTTGTTAAAGGAAGAGCCGGCAGAAAACGATTTGCGAGGAGGCACTATGTCAGATGGGCTAAATATGCAACTGCAAAAGGTAGAAAAACCGCCTGCTAAAAGATCCTCAAAGGACAGGCACACGAAAGTTGAAGGCCGTGGTCGGAGAATCCGGATGCCGGCGGCGTGTGCTGCTAGAATCTTCCAATTAACACGGGAACTAGGTCATAAATCCGACGGTGAGACTATACGTTGGCTTTTAGAACGCGCCGAGCCAGCTATTATTGAAGCTACCGGAACGGGTACGGTTCCGGCGATTGCCGTATCAGTTAACGGAACGCTGAAAATACCGACGACTTCGCCGGCGACAAATAGCGAAGGAGAGAGCGCGACGAAGAGGAGGAAAAGGGCCGCGAACAGCGAGTTTTATGACGTGCATGAGCCGTCTAATTTTGCACCAGTGGCCCCAATTGCCCCACAAAGTCTCCTTCCTGTTTGGGCAGTGGCCTCTGGTAATGGGCTTGTACCCACCACCAGTGGGACGACTTTCTTTATGGTGCAGCCGCCACCCACTAGTAGTACTACTATTGCTACTGCTGGGCCTTCGTATCCACCTCAGTTGTGGGCCACCCCAATATATAATATTCCAGGAAGGCCCATTTCAAATTATGTATCTGGAATTAGCTATGCAGGGGTCTCTGCTGCTGAAGGTCAAGTGAGTTCGTCAAAAAGTGATGGGAATGTTTCAGCCATGGCTCCAAGTTCCAGTTCTACTGGTGTTACCACTACTACAACCACAAGTAATACTACTACACAGATGCTTAGGGATTTTTCATTGGAGATTTATGACAAAAGAGAGCTTCAGTTTATGGTTGGTTCTGGTTCTAGTGAAAATGATCAAACTTCCTCCTCGAAATCCTAATACATTTTCAGTGGGACAGAAAATCGGTTAGGCTTCTAGGCCCATAAAGTTCTCTTTTAGTTTCTTTTTTGTTTTAATTTTCCATGTCTTTTGTTATCCAATCTTACGGATAAGCATCTAGAATTTTGATGTTTTTAGTTAGGCGCTAGCTTTTGGCTAATTCACAGCTCTATCTTAGCTTTAATATTTTGCTTGTAGATACAAATGCCTAACTCCTGGTTCCTCCTTTTGAAGTAGCTCTGTTTTGATGACAAAGGTTGGTTAACTTTGGTTGTCAACTTGCTAATACTTTTTAGAGTTGGGGCACTCAATTTTATTCCTTTTTTTTTTTTTAGTGATCCGTAATGTGATTGCCAAAAGCAAAATGGATTGCCAAAAGCAAAATGGTTTTGTTTATGTTGGATTGGTTTTAAATGCTTTTTTTTTTTTTTGAACTAAGCGTGGGACCATTCTTTGTGCATGTATTGTCGTGTAACACTTTAAAATCCCTTTGTAGCAGTGCCACAGTTTAGTTTTTCATGGGTCATTTGGCCCGTGCGCTTAGTGCACGTGGCATTCATCTAGTGCACGTGGAACGTGGGCCCCGCGAAAAAAGAAGTGGTCCCCATCTCAAGAGGGTGTGGGTCGATGAATTAATAGTCAATATACAGCATAACGTTGGGGTCCAGTTATCGCAGTGGTGGGGCCAAAGCTAGTATGGTATGCTGGCCAAGAGGAGAGAGAGTGTAGCTGTGGGCCATATATTTAGGTCATGTGAATGGCAGGGCTTCATGCCCCACATCTTGGAGCATGGGCCCCAGCTCACTATCCAAGGCGGCCGCGTGGTGGTCCACTGCCTACGACTACTACTAACACTACCTTTCAGGTTTGTCTTTAGGTCTGCTCCTTTTTTAGGTTTTTGTGGGGGTCCTATTGACGTGGGGACGCGAGACCAGGTTCGCGTTTCCTGACACGTGTTGTGTGATTAGTTGTCACGTGGGGACCACCTCCGTGGAAGATCGACACGTGGCAACTGCTGCCCTGGCTTTGCCGTTTGCAAATCTTA